GTGCTCCTTTTCAACCCAGGCCATTCTGTGTTTCTGTGATCCTGCAGCAGCTGGCTGGGATGGCTGGGCCTCTTTGCGCTGTGGGGCTGGGCTTAATGAAGGGGATTTCACTTCTCAGCCATTATGTGTTAGGGTGAAGTTGCAGGCAGGGGATTGTTAAGGCCCAGAATTATTATAGAAACGTAACTCACCTTTCTGTATTGTTTTCCTTTCTTATCAACTCAAAGGAGAGAAACGTCGTACCAACCTCATCCTGTTTGCAGGCACAAAGCATTTCACGCGACAGAAGTGAAGTGAGAGGTGGTTGGTCTTGTTTAAATGTTGAGGAAGAATTGAAGTGAAGGAGGATCCATTCACGTTGGTTCTGCTCAAACACCGTGCTACTTTTGCACTATGAGCATAGATATGCAGTTCCAAATGATGGGGATCTCCTGATCTGGCACACCCAGTCCAGATGTAAACTAACTAAGCTGCTACCAATACTGAGCACATTGCCTTTCCCTTCCAGCAGTGGCAGGAGGACTTCAGGTCTGTGGCAGACACATTGAGGTTTACAGCATCCGGTTGTTCTAGCTGGGGCTTGGATTCTTGGTTTTGGGTGATAGGTGTTAATAAGGCCAAAAAGGGAGATACAAGGAGTGCTGATCTGGGAAGCAGTGGTGGCCTGTCTGGCTCCCAGCTCCCACTGCCTCTCACGCTGTTCTGTTTCCTATCCTAGCTGCAGAGTTTTGGAGCAGAGAACAGCAGCAGTTCATGTGACTGAGCTCGAATTGCCACGTTACACTTCTTACCCCACAGTCCATGTTCTTAGAGTTTTTGTATGCACCAATGAAACTAGAGTGAAGATACTCGGGTGTAGTTTTAAATACCATGTTCAACCTTGGGTTTTGTGGGTTTTTTTTTGGTCTCCTATATTTTGGATATCTTAAAACGGGCACTTGGGATGAAGTTGAGGTGCAGTGGTATCTAATAAAACGTATGGTTTGTGTCTCAGTGCTTACAGATGGTTGACAGTCCATGGCATAAGGCCTGCCCAGCAATGTGTGTGCTCTGATGCTTCTCCCTTCTTAGTGGATGCTGACACCCAGTTCAGCTGCAGAGTGCCAGAATGTGAACCTTACCTGCAATGCTGCTCACAGATATCTTTTAACTTTAAAAGTTATTTGCAAAGATGACTACAAAGCCTAGTGACGTCACCAGCGTGAGCTGAATATCTCTAACAGGTGAATTCTCAGTGTATGAAAACGTGTTTGTTTTTATTGTCTGTGTGGTTTAGGTCCCATAATGACAGTTCCCTTGAGAGGCAGCCAGCTTCTGCAGAAAACTTGTTCCAGCACTGAGCGCTGCAGATACCTGAAGTCTGAAAAGAGAAGGAAAAAAGCCAATTTCTCGCTGTCTAGCCAAGTGAGTCCTTTTGTTTTCTTGTTGTTTGGGGATTTTTTGGAGGTGGGTTTGGGCTGGGATTAGCCTTTGTTTACTTTGTGAATATTCACATGCTTGCCCAATTTCCTCTGAAGTATCAAATAATATCAGCTGTCTGACAGTGCACTGGATCCCTAACGAGTCTGATGGGCTACTTAGATGCAGGCAGGCATAAGAGCTTGTCTGCAATCTGAGCATTAAGTGATTTCCTTTTCATAACATTAGCTGGAAGTGAATTACCTGGAACTCAACACCACGTTTGTGTTTTGTAAGTGTGAATCTTAGAATCACAGAATCCTAGAATGGCCAGGGTTGCAAAGGAGCACAATTTTCATCCATTTCCACCCCCTGCTGTGTGCAGGTCGCCAACCAGCAGACCAGGCTGCCCAGAGCCACATCCAGCCTGGCCTTGAATGCCTGCAGGGATGGGGCATCCACAGCCTCCTTGGGCAAGGAGTGAATGGAGTGTTCATTAAAGAGAGCATCCTTACTTTGCTGGAATAATGCTAAAAATGAAAAATCAGAGTTTTGGTTTTAAATACAAATCTGTTTGTTTACTTTACCCTGTCGCAGTTTTCTGGGCCCTGATGTAACTGCTAGTCTCTGCCTAACATGAACTCAGATTAAAATGGTGCCGTGGTAGAAATCCAGAGCGTTGCAAATAGTTGTCATGCATTAATGAATGTGATGGACCACAAAGCGTTTTTTTCTTTCTTGGAAGTCTGACATCTTTTCTGTAAGCAATAAATAAGAGCAAGCATCTTATGGTTAGCATCATATTCACACTGGCTGTATTTATGTCATTGAATTTGGCAGGTTTGTTTATGAGATTGGAAATAACTGTGATCTCAAGCATCCGTCTGCATGCAGAGGGTTTTCACAGCAGATATTCAGCTTTGGTAAACGGATTTGCGGATTTGCATGGGGTAAAAATGGAGGCAGAAATAAACTTCTGAAAACTGAGCCTCAGTCCAGAAGTGATGGCTTCCCAGCTGTACGCATATGCTTTCAATATCTCCTCAGTAGAGAATAGGAGTCTGTGTATAAATGGCACACCATGGATTTGGCATCTTCTGGAAGAATGTGTCGAGAATGCGTGGGAGTACTGCAGCATTGTCACAGGGCTGATTTCCATTGTCTGCTTTCTGTTTGCTGCACTACCGTAAGTTTTCAAGTCTTTGGCAGTCCTCAGATTGAAACATGAGTAATCTTGCCTGAAGCCTTTCTCACAAGCTGCCTTTTTTTTAAGTTTATCTTGGATATGTTTCTCTATCTGCATAATACAGATATATTATGCCAGAGAAGCGTGTTGTTCATGTTTAGAACAATATTTGGTGGTTGACAAATGAGCTTGATGCACTGTTCTGTTGTACTGACTTGACACTAATCTCTGCCACTTAGAGAAAATGAGAATAAATCACCTCTTCTCCCTTATCTTCCCCACCCTGAGATGTGTGCACACAGCATGCTTGCTGCAGAAACTGGCTCACTGTGTATGGAAACCACAAGCCGTGTCACCAGTGCTGTTGAGCTGGGTTCTGCCAGTGAAATTTGGATTAAGACAAAATCAGGAACAGCACACGAGTTACTGCTTGGGTAGTGCAAAATCAAGTGCTGTTGGGAGAACTGGCACTGGGTTTGGATTTCCAATGTGAAGGTAGGAGATGGCAAAAGGAAAGTAGAAATGCTGCTTGGAGGTGAGAGTGCCCAAACATAATAGGATTGTCCTCACAACAGGAATATAATTTACTGGACTAAAGAAAGGGTGATGGAAATCAAAATCAGAACGCTCTCAGTAAGTGGTAGAGGTTTTGAAATGTGAGTTGAAAGGAGGCTTTACATTCAGAGTGTCACGTTAGCCAGTATATGATTCATCCAGACGTGTCTAATGGACTGAAATTTGGGATTGCTTCATAGTTCCCATTGTGAATTTGAAGAACGTTTCTTCAGTTTGGAGGCTTAAGTGTCGTCAGCTCTCACAGAAGCTTTGTTCCTTCTTAGCCCTTCTGTTAAAAGTTTTTCCTGTTTCAGGATTTCAAAGGCTGGTATTTACGGCTGATGAGTGTGAAGCAATGAAGCGTAGTTTTGGTGGCCAGACTGATATTTTACTGCAGAAGATACACACGTAGCACCCGCACAAGTTCATGCAGTAATGAAGTTGTGGTTTCAGCCTTTTGTTGTGTTGGAGTAAGACATGGTCAGCACTGTGACACTGAGTTCTCCTTCTGAGCGTTTGTGGGTATTGCTCTGATGGGTCTCTGGTGGTTATGTTAGTATTCCTTCCTTACTCAGATATTGAAAATTGTATGTTACAACTTGTCAGGCATTTTTGGCTAACAGTGTGTCCCAATTCTGGAATTTGTGCCAGTCAAATTCACGTTGCCTGTCGGGATGGAAAGGTGGACCAAGCGCTGTCTTTGGGCTTTCTGCTGTGTTGGATGGCTGGAGATCTCACAAATCTGATAGGCTGCTACTTAACAAATCAACTGCCAATTCAGGTAATCTGTCAGTATTTCTACTTCTTGATGTATCCTTTTCAGAATGTCCCTTTAAACTGTAGGATACTGTAATAATGCACAATACAATAGGCACCAGGGCAGAATATCTGCTCACTGATCTACTATCCATAAAAAAGATCAGAATTTCTCAGATGTTTACTTTGATACCATTATGTGTTGCAGGAACCATTTCACTCTTGCAGTTAGTGTTATGAGAGACTTACTGGGATGAAGTGGGGAACTCTCAATTAATTTTTGCTTTCACAGTAAGTTTGCAGAGCAAACAGGGATGGATGGAAGTTGTGCTGTTCAGCTTCTGATAGATTAGGCTACCGTGCTGCAACTACTCTTAAAATTTCATTTTATTTTAGTATGTTTGTATATTTATAATATTTAGTATATTTTAATATATTTGATTTTAGGAGAAGTGTTTAATAACAGAAACACCAGTTGAAAGAAGCTGTTAATCCCTTAAAAATCCAAAATTACAGTTTCTTCAATGAAGGGAGGGCTTCTCTGGAGGAAGCAGTAGTCGTCAGCAATGGGTTATTTGTATCTGAAGCTTTCTTATCTGCTGCTTTTGTTTTCAACTCTTCCATTTTCTTCCTCGTTACACATCGATCTGCTGCTGTCCAACTTGTTGCTCCTCTGAATGCTTTTTTCCCTTCTTTTGGCAGCGGCTTTGTGTTTGTTGTTATACACATTATTGTTAAGAAGCACAACTTAGTTCTGATGACATTTTGTACTTCTTGTGCACTGACCAAGCAAATGTAACTTCTCTTTCAGACTGTCACTGCCATCTCCTACGTTAACATGGATATCGTTTTGATTTCACAATTTGCCTATTGCAAGCTCAAGAATCAGAAGATGATGAAAGGTGAGGCTTTTTAACAATTAAAACATTCTCCATAACGCAGCTTCTTCACCTTGATGTTTTCTGTTTAAATAAAGTCTATCTAAAAATGGGGTACACAGATTCCAACTGGAGTTGTTAGGCCTATTTCTTCCAATTTTCTCAGCTTTTTGTGAAAATTCTTTTCTTCTGCCTTTCTCCCCTCCTCTTAACCACATAATACCTGTTGATATTTTCTAGGTTGTACAGTCAGTCTATATAGGCAGGAAATGAAGCCAGAACCTGATTCCATATTATGATTTGGCTCCATGGTTTTACTATCTACTTACAGCTATCTAAATGTACATGCAGGTTGGAATTAAGTGTTATTTTTTGTGTGGTTCAGTTAGTTCCTTCCGTGTTGATTAAAACAGGACTTCATTTGCTTATGGCACCAAATAGCTCGACATCTTCGTGCGTTGTGTTTCAATGCATACAACTTAAAGGCATTCAAGGGGAATGAAATCACTCGAGTTGCTTTGTAATCACTGGCAGTGGTTGTGATGTTCAGTCTACCAAATGGGCTATTGAAATGGAAGGCAGAAAGCTCTGTGCACATTACATGCAATCAAAAACAGTAGCTCATCAGTCTTAAAAAAAAAAAACCAAAAGGAAACCCGTGGTGTAGTGGGGGTAACAGAAAGCTGAAGTAAAGCAGATGCCTGCACAGCACACTAAATAGGATAAATCCAATTCATTTAATATGCTATTGATAATGAACCTGAGGATAGGTCAGTGCTGAAGATATCTCCTCCTTCCTACTGCCTACTCTTGGAAACAAGCATGGGATTCTGTGCATTATAACTGCCCCTGCCTGCTTCAGCTCAACTCTGCATAGCTGGAGAGGGAAGAATGCTATTTGTGAATAAAACAATGCAAGAGAGCTCTCAATACCCAGTTTTAGAGCTCTTACCGTGGACTTGTTGGTCAGTTTTGTGAGCTGGTCACAATCCAAGCACAGGCTGTGAAACCACTGTAATAATTCCTGTCTGTGTAATACAGGGTGCAGGTCTATAGGGCAGGCTTCTGATGCCATACAGCCTTTTGTCCCACTGGTGACAGTCACCACAGGAGCAGTGCCTGTTAAAGCAAGGCACAAAACAGTGCTTGGTGAGCAGGGCTGGGGACAGAGCCCAAGGAGGTGGAATCCTTAGGCTGAAATGAGACCTTTACGTTTACATGTTTATATTGTGGATGAAAAGTGACCTTAACAGCAGGTGTTATTTTCCAGCTCATTTGTTTGTCATTTTTATCATTCTAGGCAGCAAAAGGCTGAAGAATTTCTGTATAACCTGGATCTTGATGTGCATAACCCTGTGTATTGTTTTACCCTGCCAGCTGTTAATCAGAAAGCAAGACCAGAGTTCAGCAATGGAAAGAAATAATGTAAGTGCTTACCTTGTTCTGTTCCAAGAAATGAAACTAACAAATTCACATGTCTTGAAAACACTGTGTGCTCTGAGCTTTCAAGAAATGTGGGTGATGTTTTTAACAGTGCTTCAGAAGCCATAAATGTGGCAGTGTGTGGATCTCTAAGTACGTATCCTACATTCCAAAATAAATAAGCTGCAAAATAGCTTCTTGTAGCAGCTCCCTGTATTTCGGGCTCGTCCTGTCCCTTGGGTTATTAGGATGTGCTGCTTTGTGAGATGACACGTACACGTGTTGTCTTTCTGCCCGTGTTGGGCACTGCAGACATCCACGTAGAGACTGTGTAGTGAAAAGTGCAATCAATAAAAAGTGGGAAATTACAATTGTACCTGCTGCTGCTGCTGTCACTTTACCAGCAAAGTTCACAGGCTATTCTAGCAATTTGATGGCCTTCGTATTAATGCCAGTAAAATAATTGTAATCCAGCAACATTGCCCAGCAGGGAAGCAGCTTATTTTCAAAATAGAGTTAGAATGAGAAAAACTAACAATTTAGTGGCCCTAGCTACGGTTTTTAGTTTTGGCTTGAATTATTGTGCCCAGGCTTTTTTAGCAGAAGAACTGGATTGATATGAGTGTTATATCCTGAAGCCTGGTGCCGATTTTGATCTCAGTCTCAGCCATGACGCAGCACTGTGCATTGTTGTGAGATAAAGATTAAACACTTTCTCGTCCTTTTTGGTCATTTGAAGAGCAGCTCTGAGCTGCTTTGAAAGTTCTGTCCAAAAAAAACAGCCGGCGGGCTCTCAGTTTAAGTCTCTGAAATGCTTGAGAACATTCTTGCCAAAATATATGTCCCTTTATTTTTCAGAACTCTCTTGATATGATTGAAATGTCAGGCTTCGTTTGTGGCTATATATCTTGTGTGTTTTACTTGGGAAGTAGATTTCCTCAGCTGTATAAAAATGTAAGTCTGTTTTTGGCTGACTATACTTGTATATTTTACCCAAATGCTCTCTGCTGCTTGAGATTTGGCCTCAAAGTGTGAAAGCCTCCCTGGCTTTTGTGACAGTCTAAAATATTAAAGAAGGGTTTTCTTCTCCCTTTCAAAAGAGGATGGTGAGAATTTTAGGAAAATGATGGTCTTTAATCAGTAGAAGGGTATTGATTGGGCAGGAAAGAGGAAGATTTACAGTTGGATTTATGAGATACATAAACAGAAACGTGCTTTGTGTGATTGTTTTCATGAGCAACTGATACCTCCCTTATCCCTTCATCATTTTTCCCCAAATGATTCTGCTGCAGGATCAAAAATTAAAATCATAGGAAAAGTAGTTTAAAGCTTTAGCCCTTCTTTTTTTCCATCAAAGATATCATTACTGACTTTTTTAACATGCTAATATATATATAAAAAGAGGCTATAAAAGAAAAAATCCTGCAGGTTTTACGTCATCAAATTTATATGGATCTTTTAGTTGGTTATAAGAAGGTTTAGTTCATTTCCAAGCTTATTCCTGTTCCCCTTTCCTTACCTTTTCCATTCCAGCTGGAATACAACAACGTTTTCAGAGTGCTCTACTGTGCGCACTGATAGAGCAACACATTTCCTAAGAACTAAACATCATTTGGAAGCAGATTATCCTTGCTGCTTTGCACCTACATAAAAACTACGTTAAGCAGAGCTGCTTCTAAGAGCTGTAACAATTTCAGTTGCTTTCAGTGGTGCGTGCAGAAAATAGTAAGCTGTGAGGGTTCAGGAAAAGATGGAAAGGAGTGACTGAAACAATCTTTCAGTGTGTGATAGTAGAAAGTGCCAGAGTTATCTAGAAACGTTTAGTATGATGCACCTCAAAACATGTTTTCTGTGTAAACTTCCTTGTCTTTAGTTTCAGAGAAAGTCAACAGAAGGCACCTCTTACCTGCTGTTTGCATTGGCCATGCTGGGAAACTGCACGTATGGCCTCAGCCTTGTCCTAAAGATGCCTGCTGCTGGATCTGTCCGGGCCCTCTACTTTTTACACCATCTTCCATGGCTCCTTGGAAGCTTTGGAGTTTTGTTCCTGGACGTTTTTGTATCCTTTCTCTGTTAGAGCTCGAATTTGTCAGGTTGGACTTGTCCGTATTTACTGATGATATTAAGTTCATATGAAATGTAAACATGAAAGCTGCATCGCAGAGGTTAAGTTCAGTCTTTTAGCACCTTTGCTCTTAGCTCTATTAACTCCAGGTATGAAACGGGATAGAATGAAGAGTCATTTCAAGGCGGTGCTGTGCTAAAGGACGTTGTGTTAATCTGTTCCATGTTCAAAGGAAGTTCTTCACCAGATTTACTTTTTATCTGATTAAAATAATTTCGTAAGCCGCTCCAATTAGCCTAATGGTGGGACAGCTGACCCTTTGGGTGGTGTCGTACTGCCATTAAAACAGCCATCTGTGCTTTTTGCATCTACAGCCACGATGGTTGAAGTGGGCAGTTTAGTAAGACATTTGCATTGTGGGAACACAATGTTTGTTTGACTAAATGGAGGTTATCAGCCTGTTTTGAGATAATTTTTCAGTTTTCTCTATAGAGACGATACAGACTGTAGGGGTTCAGGGCTGCTTGTTTGCCCAGGTGGCTGCTCTGAGTGCTCAGGCCTTTTGTTCCATACATGAAGTAGTTACTTTTTCTCCCTCCCTACCCCCACATGGAAGCATAAAACTGCCTGTTTATTTACAAAAAAAAAAAAAAAAAAAGGAATTTGATCTGGACAACCCTTACAGTACATCATGTGCGTATTTGGAGACGCTTTTCTGTGATGTACTCTGAAAAGAAACTTTTATGTGGGCCACAAACCTCCCCCATCTCTGAGCCCAGCCCCGGAACTGCAGTGCCAGTGTGCACATGACATTCATTTCTCAGTTCTGTCTTGATTGGAGGCTGAATCCAATCTTGCTAATAGTCTTCCAGTTCAGATTGTATTGAAAGCAGATGCTTCCAAATCAGGTTGAGGAGCTTATAGAAATCTGGTCATGTATATAGTGTCAGTTCAAAATGTATGAAGTATTTGTAATCAAGAGAAAAGAAGAGCAGACCTCCAGCTTTGAGAACCCCCTGAGGTATGGAAGTAAATGCTTTTTAAAAAAGAGAGCTTCGTTACTGTCTCTTGCCAAACAAGAAAATCAAAATTCCAACAAAATGCTGCATCGTGTTAGACCAGAAAAGAAAGACCAGGGATGCTTGGCTTTTGGGAAGCAGAGGGATTAAGTGAAAAGGTTGTAATTTCTACAAGAGAGGTGTTTCATAATTGACCGTTTGCGGAGCAGTCTCTGTTTTGAGAAGTAGTTCCTGACACTGTCCAATTCTAACGGGGTTTATTCCTCACACTGCAGAGTTTCATTAGGTGGAGAGCAAGGCCTCATTTCTCAAGGACCAAGGAAGGATTAAGGGTTCACTTACTCTGTGTCTGCCGCAGTGTTCTTTCTTCTGCTTCCATCTGACGTGGCCAGGGTTGACTATTTTTAGGAACAAATGGACTCCTGATGGCAGCAGGAGCAGTGTTAGTTAGCACAGGATTACACTGGGCTTGTGTCAGCTTTCTTAACAGGATAACGCGGTCATCCTTTTTCCTCGGTATCCCAACTTGGACTTGTTGAGTTGCACAATAAGCCAGTTATTTTCAGTGAATAATGCAAGTGTCCAGTTGTTTGTAAAGTATGAATTGAGTCCTTTTTTTTTTTTTTTTTTTTAATTTTAAAAGGAGTTTGATAAGATGAGGAATTTGAATTATCAATCGGATGTGATTTCCTGTTCCAGCGATGTCTCCTTCCAACTGCTGCTTTGTACTGGAAGTTGATTGGAGTTTCTCAAGAGGCCACGAAGCCCATGGTGTAAATGTGTGCTTATTAACCTCGTCTGTAAGAGACACTGGGTGCAGAGGTGCCTATCTTGGGGTCTGTGCTGGACCTTATCAGAGCTCTTTAGGTGCGTGAGTGCTTAATGGTACGCAAGGACTGAGTTCTACATATCCTAACATCACTGAATGGCCTGGGTTGAAAAGGGCCACAATGATCCTCTAGTTTCAACCCCCTGCTATGTGCAGGGTCACCAACCACCAGACCAGGCTGCCCTTTGCAACTCAGTGCTGCCTGCTGCTGAAAGCAGCAGACCGAATTTAGTGCAAGTTTTTGGAAAACTTGGTCCTTTTCTGTAAGTATCCTCTTTCACCCTGTGTCCTTCTTCCTTTTACCAACAGAACCAAACAACTCTGCTTTGTATTTAGATTCAGGTGAAGCCCTTTACCACGTTTTTTTGCGTTTGTTTGTTTGTTTGACAGCATCTCCTATTGTCAGAGAACCATGTTCAAATCCTCCATACCTACTTCTTTTCATTAAGGGTAGCCAGGTTGTTACTAAATAGCCCAAGTATATTCAGCCAGAGCCAGGCTGCTGTACACAGACCATTATCTTGCAGCTTTTGTGAATTGCAGGGCAGCCACTTGGAATCCATTATATACTGCTACAAAACATCACGCTTTGCAATTTAACTACACAGTGCATAGAATGTAAGTCTGACCTCAGCAAGACTTTCCCAGCCAAAGGTACTTCTCTGCACTCGTGTGGTTTGTCTCAATGCTGTTAGGTTATTTGAGTTGTCATTCGGTTGTCTTCAGGTTTTGTGAAGCAGATTTGACACCGTAGCCCAGTGGCCATCGTCACCATCACTGTGAGGAGTCCATTTGGTTGTCTCCTCCCCTTGGTGCTGTCTGCATGCTTAGCCCATCTAGTTTCCCCCAGGAAGTCAAAGACTTGAGCAGTAACTGTTTTTCCGTATTAAGCTGTCTTACAAATCCAGCATTTATTTTAAAAATATGAGCAGATGAGTGCAGATCTTAAAAAAGAAAAGCCTTATTCTGGAAATACTCTGTGAATTCCACGTGGTTTGTTTGTAACTTATCTTCCTTAAAAGCTGTGTTGCCAGCTTGGTGGCTAACAGTGATAGTGTTTCAGTCCAGATTTGTCCCAGCCTACCATCTGCTTTCTGCAATTTGATCCCCTGTTCACCACATCCTTTCTTACCCATGCAGCTATTAAAATTTGGGGAGATGCTGTGCTGTGAGTACAATAAGGCCTACTTGAAAAAAGAAAGAAAGAAGAAAAGAAAAAGAAAGAAGCAGAAAGTTTAAGCAGCAGCTATATATGTAATAAAGCTAATTTGCTAAGCTTAAGAAGATGATTCCCCAAATAATACTAGAGAAAGACTTAAAAAGAGTGCTGATCTGCTGTCTGTGAAGGAAATCCTGTCTAATCTTTAGCTGGGGGGCCAGAGAGGTGGGATGCAGGAAAGCTTTGGGATAAGTAGGACAATTACTAGGGCTTTGCCTGCGATGGAGACAACCTCCCCTCTTTCCAGGCCTCTCTGAAGACAATTTTCTTAAAAAACAAAACAAAAAGACCACCATCACTTATGGAAAGACATAGCTGGGTAGGTTTGTGTTCTATCTTTATCTCACAAATGGTATCTCTATTAGAAAACAAAGGGTTTTGTGTCAACGTTGGTGCTTAACTATCTGGCAAAAGGAGTGAAACCTCTCATCCTTTCCAGGTGCACATTCCCATTTAGCTAAAGGTTGGGTTGCTGAAAGCCAGGAGGGTTGCTTCAGAGCTGGAGCTATCAAGAAAAAGACCGACTACATGCTTGTTAATTCTTTATAGATTAGTAGCATTTCCAGTGGTCTGTTTTACAATAGAAATAAACACATCTAATTGCACAATTCTGTGTTGAAAACAGCATTAAATATTGAGTCCTGGCATTGTCAGGCTGTCAGTGCCTGTAAATCCCAAATGAGGTGGAATTTTGTGGAAAATGAGACTCATAGAATCAGAACGGCCTGGGTTGAAAAGGAGCACAGTGCTCATCCAGTCCCAACCCCCTGCTGTGTGCAGGTCACCAACCAGCAGCCCAGGCTGCCCAGAGCCACATCCAGCCTGGCCTTGGATGCCTGCAGGGATGGGGCATCCACAGCCTCCTTGGGCACGATGGGCATCTTGTTTTCTGATCAGGCCCTGCTGATCTGCTGCTGAGAAGGGCTTACCAGCTTCCCTCCTTCCCAGCATCCAGAAGTGGGGTCTCCTGCCCACCTTGCTGTAGGAGCACAGGGCAATGTTGGACATTGCTCCTCTTCCACTTCTAATTAGTCTCATACTTAGGACCCATGCAAGCAAGGGATACTAAAGGATGTCTTCACTTGTATTTGAGCCACAGAACCAAGGAGATCTGGAATTTTTCTTTTTTTTTTCTTTTTTCTGTATCTTCCTGTTTTTAGTATTGATAAAATGACTTAGCTTTTTGCCATAGAGCACTGAAAATGAGTATTAAGAAAGATATGGAGAAGTTCATCTGCCAATGTAGAACCTTCCACAGTTAGGATTAAATAAATGAGTAATACCCCACAATATGTGAATAAGTTCTAAGCTTTCCTCTTCAGGTTGTGGTACGCTGAGTCTGTGCCAGCACTAAATAGAGGGCTGTGCTCTTCTGCACAGCTTGTTTCATCTTTGATTGGAAGCAAGTGCTGCCTCTGTATCCTGGTTAATTACTTCCTTACCCCAAAATAACAGGTGACTGTGCAGTTCCTTCAGTATGGTCAGCACAAGGAGAGATCACATGCCTTGGTGGCACTGGAAGTGGAGCCGCTGCTTGTGGGTGAGGAGGATGCATAGTGCTGTGCTCAGCCCTGCTCACACCTGGGGACTTGGATGGGTCAGACTGCAGGGAGCTTTGCAACCACACTTATTGTTTGGTGTTTAATTGTCATTAATTTGTCACTGCCCGTTTAATATTTTCATCTTCGCATCATTTGCAAATGTTTATTCTGTTGCATCAGGACTGTGTGAAGTCTTTGTTTTCCTGCATGTTTGCCTTTCTCACTCTCTCTCCCTGTGATGGGAATCACAGCAGTGGTGCTTTGGGAGTATTTATTTGACACGATGATGCCATGCATATCAGAAGGTGACTATTTTTAGATGAAAATCTACATCTCAATAGCAGTGATGTGGCTGTTTTAAAACTAGCCCTGTGCCTTGAACTCAGCATGGAGTTCTGTACTGCTCAGTCTGGTCACATTTTATAGAAGAAAATTGGCCTTTAATTAAGAACCATCAGTGCAGAGGATGCATTGCTGATGTAAAAGCAGAATTGTGGTGTGAGTTCTTGAGATCATAGATCCTAGAATGGCCTGGGTTGCAAAGGAGCACAGTGCTCATCCAGTCCCAACCCCCTGCTATGTGCAGGGTCACCAACCAGCAGACCAGGCTGCCCAGAGCCACATCCAGCCAGGCCTTGAATGCCTCCATGGATGGGGCATCCACAGCCTCCTTGGGCAACCTGTTCCAGTGCCTCACCACCCTCTGAGTGAAAAACTTCCTCCTCATATCCAACCTAAACCTGCCCCGTCTCAGTTTAAAACCATTCCCCCTTGTTCTGTCACTATCCAACTGATACTGTATCCCTATATACACTGCAGAGTATCACTATGCATTTTGTTGTTTTAATTAAAACTTTACATACCAATGCCTTTGCCTTCTGTGGAATATAATTACTGCATGTTGTCATACACTGCAGATGATGGTTTTCTAGGACTTGCATTTCATTACAAGCTGCTGGTTTGGGTAAGTACCACAGAGGGGAAAAACACCACCACAACATAAGGAAACAGTACCTTGTCATTGCCTATGGAGCACAAGGGATTTTGTCAGTGCTGCATTGTGTTTAATGAAATCTTTAATAAGATCCAGTAGAATAAATTCAAGTTAATATTTCATTGAATGCGTATGTGATGATTCATGTTTCAGAAAATAAGTTTATGACCAAAAAGGCTGTTTTCTCAAAGTCAATATGAGTTGGCACACTGTTAGGCTCATTGTGAAACTCATTGCCTTTGAGGAACGAGATGGGGCCTGGCTGTGCTTGCAGGGGTGGGGGTAACATCAGCTCTGCTGTTGGGTATGGAAATCCAAACTGATTTGTAGCTTCTGCTCCAGAAGCGATCATAGAATCACAGAATGGCCTGGGTTGCAAAGGGGCACAGTGATCATCTAGCTTCAACCCCCTGCTGTGTGCAGGTCACCAACCAGCAGACCAGGCTGCCCAGAGCCACATCCAGCCTGGCCTTGAATGCCTGCAGGGATGGGGCATCCACAGCCTGCTTGGGCAACCTGTTCCAGTGCCTCACCAGCCTCTGTGTGAAAAACTTCCTCCTAATACCCAACCTAAACCTCCCCTGTTGCAGTTTAAAACCATTCCCCCTTGTCCTATCACTGTGCATGATGCCTGTGAGTGCCTGCATTCTGGGACTTGAGAAGCAGCCCTGTGAATGCCACGTACTGCTGCAATGCTTTGCTGCTCTGCACAGCGTGGCCTCACTGAGGCTGTGTGAGATCCAGCCCCGTGACACTGCTCACTTCATTGCTGTGTGTGCTGTGAGGGAATGTGTTTTTGCTGCTTTCTTAAGCAAGCAGAGGGTATTAGAAGTTAACCTTTTCAGTACATAAATTAAAATGCAATTTGTCTCACTTGCAGATTTATATGCTGTGCGCATGAGATTATCAAACTCCTGCCTGGCTGCTGATTGAAACCATGACTTGTTACTTTCTAATGCAGTTAGAATTTGGTCTTAGATTATTTCTTCAAAGATTATTTCCCCTTCTGTTGCTCCATGTAATCCTATTTTGGGTTGCCTTTTTATCCCCATTTCATCCTGCTGTTTATTGAAACAGCCAAATACGGGATATATGAAGTTAATAAGATTTAAGAATTCCGATGGAAAACAATTTAACTTTCTAAATGCACAGCAGTAGTTGTTGATTTATGATAGTTTGTAGGTGTAATATTTCATATGTAGGTTAAGTGAGTATTTGGGGGGAAAAAATTATTTCCTACCAACAAACTTGCAGTTGGGTGTTTTGGGGAGGGTGGGGGTAGTGCCATCCCTTCTGCTGGATGTGGGGATGTGAACTAAGTTCTGTGCAGCAGAAAGTTAGACGTGTAATAACCACTCGTGTCATCACCCAGCAGATACATCCCACTGTCACTGCTGCTCCTTGTTGCCTCTGAAGATGGAAAGTTTCTTTGTCATCACTTTGCTCAGCCCTTTTTTCCAGATCCAGCCTCCCCGTGTCAGAAGGGGAGGTGAGAGCTGTGCCAGCACAAAGCAGAGACCAAAAGGCAGCTCCTCACCCCCTCTGTTAGGCAGGAAAGTGCTGCACTTCCACCACAGCTATTTGTTGAAAAGCAAAGTGTCTTAATCTTCTTGCTTTATACTACTAAGTCTTCCCCCCACGCTGCATGTAATCCAGGATTAATGGCATTGTTGCCTAATTTTATTTTTGTAGCTATCATGGAAATCTCATTAACTAAAGGGAACATCTAACGTGTCTTGAGGGTTTCATTTTTAAACAGAGCCATCCAATAACTTACCTAACAGAGTTCTGCAGTCCACAGGAGGTTCTTCAAGTGCAGAGTTACTCGTGGCCATTGCAGGATGGGTTTCACTTGTTTCGGTAGAAAGGAATGTCCTTAATTTGCCCCTCTATCCTGTGAAGAAGGGGTAAGTCTGCATTTTTCTAAATTCATATTTGTATTCTGGCTGACAGATAAATGTATTATTAGTCTTAGGAGTTCGATTCACCTAAAGGAAAGCATATAGGTGCAGTTGGCTGCTCTGTGGTCGCGTTACTTCCCTACTAACTGGCCTTCAAGCTCTGCAGCGCATCGAGGAAGCAACAAAAAATGGTCCCTCAGGGTTTCTAGTACAATGCCTCAGCAGCATCAATGTTTGCCCTGGTTTCTGAATGGCAGGAAGCTGGGAAATTAACGTTTTGCACATGGAAGAACCCAGTTCTGTGGTTAAGGAGTTTGGGGCTCCGGGTTCTGGTTGCCCACGGGCAGCACAGTGTATCCATGCTCTGCTGTTGTGCTTTTTAAAGAAACTTTCCTGGTGGCAGGGACAGCTCGTGAATATTAATTGCTGTAGTACCTCAGTGTCCATCTGTGCCATTGCTTGCTAAATGCAGCTGGAAATACACGGTGTGCAGGCAGGGCATTGATTCATATCATGACAAGGGGGGCTGCCATAACGTGCTCCGAATGGCTTTAAATGATAGCTGCAGAGGAATTAAGACCAGTTTAATCCGACTAAATAATGCTCCTAATGATGAACCATTAAAATCTAGTTGACTTTCAGATTCTAGCAATTGTATCAGACAAGGTGATTATACTAAACATCAGTAATGATAATCATTAGAATAGATTAAAGTATTGACTGAGCCATAGGAAGCACTGCCTGGCGCCGGCACTGGGGCTCTTTGCTTTCACAGCAGCATCCTCCCATCCCAGCTGCATTATGCAATTTTGTTGGGCTTGCTGATGGACCTCAGATCTGCTGCTCCTGCCTGGAGCCCAAGCAGTTCTTTGCCCAAAGCACATCTTCCAGGTCCAAAACGTATCCAGATGCATCCACCATGGATGCCCAGTGGATTGGCTATAACACCAGAGGTCAAAGCATTCCCCACGTCCAGGGGAGATAAACAGAAAAAAGGGACGATGCAGGCTTGCTTGTGGAGAAATTGTGAGCCTTCCAACTGGTTTCCTTGGGGCAAATGGCCATGGTCATGCTGCACTGCTGCTGGGATCGGGCTGCCCTGCCCTGCAGTGCTGCTGCACTCTGAGCTCTGCTCCACATTGATTCCTGCCCTGGCTCACCCTATTGTACAAGCCTGTAAATATAGTGAGAAGATAGGCATTTTATGATGTCTGACTTTCCTACTATATTTTTTCGTTAAGTAAGCTGTAATGGAAATATTGGGCTTT